ATTGTCCATCACAGACTAGTAAAGCAATCCTAATCCTCGCCCATCACAAGCTACTAAAGGGAATGATTCAATCTGAGTAGGAATATTTCGCTAGCCATTGTGAAGATTATTATTTCACAAGAGCATAGATACTTTACTCCCTCCTAAGAAAGATGGAGCCCGGATATAAAGCTTATGTGATGCATATGCATATGATAATGTGTGTGAAGGAACATATATATCTTTATTCAAAATTTTATCAAACGAAAGAATAAAGTAAATGCCAACAAAGAATAATCAATAATTAAAGATCAACCAAACTAAAAGTTAGAATAATTTAAAATTAATTAATGGCCTGGCTCTCTATGTTTCTAGTGGAGTCACTAAACTGTCATAATGTATAGATCCGTAAATTTATAGCTAAACATAACCTAAGGAGTCGCCACTAATCTTTTCTTATTTAGGTGTGATTGATCACCTAATGAATCTATCTTTTTAAAGATGTTTTAAGCTTGACTAAGTGTCCCTAAAAGAATAGGTTCTGATTTACATTTTAGAACTAAGTTTGAGAGTTCAGTTACGTGTGAAAAATATTATAGCACCCCTACAACGCCCATCCTAAGATAATACCATTTAATTTTAAATTATCCTAATAATCATCTTAGTTCTAATGGTTATTATTTTAATGTTTAAATATTAAAAATAATTTTCAAGACTTTTTCATCGATCTGACAAAAACCTTAAAAATACTTTCTCACCTTAAAAGTATTCAAAAATCCCATTTGGTTTTTTGATAAGGCTCCATCATCAAAAATTAACTTAATCATTTATTTTTTGTTAAAATTTTTGTTTTATTGAAAATATATATGATTTTTTTACCATTTGGACCAAAATTAGAAATATTTTCTCATATAGAAATCTCTTAAATAATTATTCATTTCTGATTACTAAAAATTTTATTTTCGAAATTTATTTTATTTTTACAAGTTTCATTTCTAAATTTTTCTCCATTTGAGCTTGATCTAGAAATATCTTTCCTAAAATTTAGTCTCCATTTATTCATCATTTATCCTTTAAAAAAGAAAATTAATATCACAATTTTTTTTTTGAATTCTTATATAAATCTTCCACCATTTGGGTTGAATTTAAGAAAAAAAAAAACTTTTTACCTAGAAATCTTATAGAAATTCAACAATTTATGATTTTTCTTAAGATTTCATCTTTGGATAATCATCATATATTTTCACACCAAAATTTTCTTAAAGTCATATTTTTAATTTTTAATTTTAAAAAATATAATTACTTTTATTGAAATTTGATCTAAATTATTCTATCATTTGGGTTAAATTTAAAAAAATTCTTACCATTTGAATTTTTAGGAATTTTATCATTGGAATAATTGTTAATTCATTTTCAAAAATTTTATTAAATTTATTTAGATTTTTTATTTAAATTTGAAAATAAATATTAATTATTATTATTGAAACTTTATCTAAAATTTTTCATCATTTGGATCAAATTTAGAAAAAAAAAATCTCACCTAAAAGTTTTCTAAAAATTAACCCTTTTTAATTTCTAAACTTTCGTCATTGGATAATTATTATTTATTCTCAAAATCTTATTAAAATTTTATTTTATATTTATTATAATTAAAATGTAACTTCCCTAACAATTTTCCTAAAATTAAAAAAAATCAAATGAAATATATCACAAATAAATAAATAATAATTATTAAATAAACAAAACTCATAAATAAATAAATAAATAAAATGAAGAAGAAGAAAATGAAAATAATACCAAAACACCATGGCTTGGCTCGATAGCTAAAGCAAAGCTTGACTGCAAGCATGAAACTAATTGGAAAAGCTTGGGAAACAATTCGACTTGACTTAAATGTGGGTTGCTGGATTTGGAGATTGATTGCCGGAATTTGAGTAATTACGATAGAATTTCATGCCCAATTGCTATGAAACTCTTGCTTTTACTTTTTCTTACATTTTTCTTTTCAATTGCTATCTAATTGTTGTGTTATTTTGTTTTGTGATTTAAAGGTCTATTTATAGGGCACAATAAGAAGAATTTCATATTGATTCCAACTTCAAAAATTAGGATTATAATGAAAAAATAAAATTTATCTTTGAAACGTTTAATTTTAAATTTAATCATGATAAAACTACATTATCACCAACTACTCTATTCTTTTTTTTGCAATTATCTTTTTTTTTTTTAAATAACCAAATAAATTTTTTAAAAAGTTAGATAAATATAAAAAAATACAATTAAAGATAAACAACAAATAAATAAGATAAAATAAGTAATAAAATAAAATAAAATAAATTATAGATAAACAAAGTAAAAACATAAAATTGATAATTAGGCTTAGATTAAATTTGAACCCCATTGATTTCAAGACTTTTGATTTAGATCTCGGATTAAATTGTGTGTCTATAAACATCACGATGTCTCTTCTTGCGATGGGGTTGTGGTTCCTTGAACAATTGTTTAGTCACGCAAAAATAGAAAAGATAGCTTCATGGGCATGGAGCTCATGGTGAAATGCTCGATAAATGGTTGCACGGTGAGTTGAAAAGCCTTCTTGATCATGGTAGGACTGTTGCTTATCTGATGTAAGGTTTGTTTTTAATTACTCAATTATAGTATTTCTTCCGGCGATTGTTATTTCAGTTTTCTATAGCATTATTTGGTTTTATACTACTTTATGAAATGGGCGTCATTTCTTCTTTTTTTTGAAAATTGCATGATAACACGTAATTTCTTTGTTTATGGATGGTACGTTTTGCAGAGGTGGTCGTGTGGCATCATGATGGCATACGCACAAAGAAACAGAATTCGATTATAGATTATAACTCTTGCACAAAGTACCTTGTTGAAAAAGAGATTGTGCCAGAAAATAAGCTTGCTGGTTGTGGATATAGTGCACGAGGACCCCAGGTTGCCCCAGCCATCACTTGCTGTCCTGGGTTATTTCGTGCTGCAGTTTTGATGGTATGATAAATATCTTTACCTGCTTTTCGGTTTGCTCAATTATACTTGCTGCGTAGTCTTAATTCGCTTGCACTGGTCAGGCACATTTGCTTTTCAGCATTCTTACAGGGAAAAATCTATATGCTATTATTATTCCTTTTCTTTTCCTGAAATTGTGAGAAAGGAAGTACTAAAACAGAAAGTAATATTTACCATTATATGCCTGTAAGTATATGTTACTAGGTACTTTATAATTTCATATGCGTATAGGCTGGTTTTGTTAATTTTTTATTCTAGGTAAACTCATTTCATCTTTTTATCTGTCTCAGGTTCCATTTCTGGATGCAACCAACAGTCTTCTCTATCCCATTTTACCTCTTACTGCTGTTGATTGTGAAGAGTTTGGGTACCCCCGGGATATTGATGATTTTCATGCCATAAGGGAATTTTCTCCTTAAGATAATATTCAGAAGGATGCTCTTTATCCAATATCTTTCAACACACCGTAAGTAGCTCTTCTTGTTAACTGTGCTTTGTTTGGTTATCTGAGCTTTATGATTGTGGGAAATTGATCAGTATAAAAATGCCTGTCAGTCAAGAAAAAGATGTGTCATCTAGAGAAAAAGGAGTTCATTAATGTTACTGATATTTAAGGAACACGTGAGCTTAACTAGGGATAATGAAATTCCAAATCGGTGGAATAGAAACGTATAGCAGCATGTAGATCACTTTGGACTTCGGAAAGTCATTACTTAACCAAGTTCATTTATGTGTGTATGGTGTAAAATGTTCCCGGCTTGGTGGCAATTCTATCTTGGTTTTTTGCTTTTAAACAGAGATTAAAGGGGAAACATATAACCAACAAATAATACTGTTGTAAGCCTTCTAGATATTGGTGATATCTCTCGTGTTTTAAGTGGGTCATTAATGCCTTTAAGTTTGACATCGCCCCAGATTTGGGTATGGGAAGCGGCAAAATGGATCGCTCTGGTTCGAGAACAAACTATTTATGACCCACACACCCTATACTACTTAATTTAATGACAGATATTGTGGAGGAAAATAGATAAGATTATCCTGATCGTCCTTACCTCCTTGTATCGGATCCAGGTTTAAAATGGTGGGGCTTTTTGTCAATGGTTTTATTCTGATTTGGTTGCTTTGGTGTTATATAGATTTGTAACCTGCTTTCTCTAGGTTATGGTAGTGGCCTACTCAAGTGGTTCATCGTGCCAAAGCAGCCAATTGAATAAAGACGGAGAACTTTAGATGATGCACGAATCAGAAATTCAATTTTCTGGCCACGTCTTGCGTCCACCAATTGAGATTGTTATTATTATTTATATAAGTTAGGTTACTGTAAATGTCATTGTACCTTATATTTAATAATGAAGTGCAAATTTTTAGTGGGGAGATATGTTCTTCCTCTTCAGATAATGGCCTTTAACAACTCAGAAGCTTTTAGATGTTTTAGTACATTTTTGTATTTGGTTTATTTGTTATAATAATAATAATCTGGAAGATGAAATGCAAAATATTCCATATTCGACAGTTTTAACTGGTGCCCAACTGCATCTCCAATTAGATGAAGTAACCATCACCAACGACCTTGTACAAGTCCCCGTAGATGACAGGTTGCCTACAAAAGCTTCCAAATACGATGACGCCCTTGCTCAATTGATAAGTTTTTTGTGATTTTGTTTCATTTCTGGGAAAACGTAGGCCTTAAATCATGATTTCAGGTTTGAAAAGATGTTTTTAGTGCTATTCTTTTTTAAACCCTACCAACTTTATTAAAAAGAAAACCCACTAAAGTTTTTTTTTTTTTCTGGAACCTGCGAATTAAAAAAAAAAAAAAACCAGTAAAAAGAGAAACAGGATGATATGTAACTTCAGTCTTACATGGGAAACCAAAACTCAATGGCCGTGGCCCAACCATTTGATAATTGCCAGTTGGAAAAGGAAATCCAACACGCTCTTGAAGTAGTCCACCTTTGAATTCTTTGACAAATTTATCCAGTGTCATGATGTGGCTTTGCATCATCTTTTTCTTGTTCAACGTCAAACTACTACTGCTTACCAATTCCACTCCATTCTCTCTCTAAAAAGGATTATATCTAATTAATTCTATTATGTCTATCCAAAATAATATTTATTTACATCTTAGCAACAGACAGAAAAATATGTTAATTTAAGAGATTATCATATTATTCAGATCCTGTGTGACCTTTTAAAACTTACAATCTTCTCTGAAAATTGCCCTCTCATGTTTCATCCACCAGCATCTACCCTAGATTTCCTAACACTGTCAGCCCTCTAATTCGAAATCAAGACATAATTTAGTATAGCCAACACAAATTTCTAACCATAAACTAAGTCTAGAGGAAAGACAATCCTGAAACTTCCGGACTTCCAGGTCCAAATCACTTTAAAGCTTGTCTGTCCTGACTTGAATCAAACGCAAAATAGTTCAATAACAACAAATAGACAAACCAGAATCTTAGTGCTTGTATTTGAACTGCAGAAGGTAAAATTAGCTGCTTCTTTTTACAGAGAAGAAAAATGAAATGTGTATAAATAAACCAAAAGCAGACTGCTAAGCGGTAAGAATTATGCCCATATACTTCTGCTTTGAGGTCATGGTAACTTCCCAAATGGTACATATTACTAAAACCAACTCTACAAGAACCCAAAAAGAGAAGAAAATTTCAAGCAACAACAAACATGAATTAACAAATTCACCCGCTTGTATCCGAGAGTCTTGAGGAAGAGCAACCCTCCTTATACTGTGACCTTCAAATACTCTCCATGGTCTTCTGAATCTTCCACTCAGACTCTCGGATTATTTTGCAAATGATCTTGAATTGCTCAATTTCAGAAGTTATGTCTCTGATTCTTCCTCTACAACGGTTGGAAGTGTATCCTCTCTGATGAATGTTGGGTTAAGGAACTTTGCCACAAAAGCCCACAACTTATAGACATCCTCAAAATTAGTCAGGAAGCTGAGAGAAGCTGTGACAACCTCAACTCTTATGAACCCACTTTTCCCATCATGTCGCCCATTTTCCATTGGTCTGCACAGGGTAGCATCTTCAAGGTTCAAAGCCCCTCGCTGTTGTCGTGGACTGTCTAATATTCGAATGTGACTGAGGAAACCAATACCGAGAGACATACCTTCTCCTTCAGCCAACTTCTGTACAACCTCTGGATTAATGAAGCCCTTGTTTCTATCCCTCACATTGAAAGCCACAGCTGCACCCCTCTCATATTTTATTTTTGGGCCATATATATGAACAAGATTCACTCTGCTATCTCCATCTGAACTGGGTAATTTGAGCTGCAGTAATGAGGTTACAAGCCAATTAATCAAAAACCTTAATCTAAGAGTGGTTTTATTGAGCCCCAACATATTAACATGATCAAGATGCCGACATATTATCTCAGGCTCCCTCCTGTCCCAATCTTGCCCATTACCATATTCTCCATCACTGGCATAGTCTTCATCATCAAGGCTGGTCCCAGACGCTTCTCCCGGCTCCAAAGTATGACTAAGGTGCTCTTTACGGCAATCCTCCATGCTAAAGGACACCCTTCTTCCCCTGCTTGGATGTTCATCTTCTAACCCAAAAAATCTGCCACCATTATATCTATTCCCTTCCCTCCTCCCCAACAACCTAAATTCACCTTCAGTTTCTCTTCTTATGGCACTCTCTTTAATCTCCGAGGAAACTTCAGAAATTAAGCCATTTGCTAGGCCATTTTTCGGAAAGACAGAAGAGTTATTGAGACGAGCTCCATTAATAGCAGAACTAGATACAGACCCCACAGACAGTGGTTTGGTGGTACCCTGCTCTTCCTCTATTTCCAGAACATGCGAATGATTTGAAGCCTTCTTATGATTTTGTGAAGTGATGTTTGTTCCAGCAAATTGTTCTTCTTCAGAAATCTCCTTCACACAGTCCAGTTCCTGTGAAACTGACAAGACAGCAGCATCAAAGGATAACACATGATGATCATCATGCCCCAGGTTAACATCTTTATCATCATATATTGGGCTGCCATATATCTTTGATGTTGGCTTTGGAGAGAGCTGCTTGTGGTTCTTCCTGCCACTAAACCAAAAAGGTGGCAAAGGGGAGGCAATTTTCTGTTTGTTCAACTGACCTGCACTATCAGACCCCACTGGACTCTGACCCAAATCAATCCAGAATGAGTTGTCTGATGATTCATCTTCACTGAAGACGGGGCTTTTCATCACTTCTCCTACAGAAATGCTCTCAGTTTCTTCAAATATGGTGCTTGCTCCATCTCTGTCAGAACTATTATCTTGATCCATTTCAGTCTCAAATACATCCCTAACCTGGGCAGATGTGTAGGCACCAGAAAAGGCAGGCAACTGAGTCCCTGGACGGTTTTCAGAGGGCTTCTCACCATTCGCACCAATTTCATTGTCCTCAATTCCACCCAATCCATCAAGAACATCTACAGAATCACTCAGATAGAGAGGATACTCAGGGGTAATCTTCACCATTCCAGAACCAGTAGATCCAGACTGGTTCTGAAGGCTTCCCATGACAGATTTTTTTATAAGAAGGCACCCAAAGCCAGTTGGATCATATCCAAACACCCTGTAGAATGATGTGATAATGAAATCTGGCCGAAACAAGGACAGGCCAAGTGAATCCATGTCTTTGGGACCCAATGACCCAGCATCAAGCAAGACATGCCAATTGTTCTGCTGCGCCAATGCCATCCACTGATATGAGTACTTAGCCCCTGTTACTCTAGACTGCACTGGAAAAACAAAAAGACCAGTGGCGGAATCCTTCTTCCTCCTCTTTTTATTTGAAATCTGCTTTCTCAAGTCAGTAGAACAAAGTTTAAGAGTTGGCCATTTAAACCAAGCACTATAAACTTTTGCACCCTTCTCCCTAGCACTCTGTGCCATCCAATTCACAGATTGACTATCGTAATCAAACATGGTCAATAATTTCTTATTCGTGTGAAAAGGATATGAGTCAGCCAGCAACTTAAACGCAGACCCCCTACTTACAGTAAACACAAGGCCATACTCATGTTCAGGAATGTTCAAATAATCCATTATCCTACTCTTAATGTCATATTCTACAGTGCCTTTCTCGGCACCACCGTAAAGTGCATGGTTACTCAAATTTGCAGTTATCTCAGACAAGCTAAATGTAGAAGACTCCCAGTAATGCACAGTTTGAACATAAGAGAAAAGCCCAAATCCACAATAATCAAGGCATACCTTTGGTGACAAATGTGCATACTCATCTGACCTCAACTTATCAATCTTCTCTGATGACTGGTATTTTGGGTACATTTTGAGGAACTTACTGAAAGCTTCATGGACATCAGGGATTGAATCTTCACTCTCAAATATACGTTCCGCAGCAAGAGCAGTAGCTCGCAAGAATTCACGCTGGGCATGGAGTCTTGCAAGGGATCTTGATCGTCCCAAGCTCTCATCTTGATTGGCTAGTGAATCAGGTTCCAATTCCATGTCTTGAGACTTGAATAAAGACCCATCCTCAGATGCTTCTTCAAGAGCTTCCCTGAGCTTGTTCTCATGTAGCTTCCGGAGAATGTTCTTCTTGATTTCAGCAGCTGATTCAGACCCATCTCTTCTCCTGCTCTTCTTGTCTAAGATCAGAGCAGCGCAGTGAGATATGGGTTTCCACAGAGAAAGATGCATCAAAGGGGAAAACTTCAGACAAAACCCAGGAAGAAACTGGCTCAAGATTCACCACCAAAAAAAAAAAAAAGGTTTTTAACACATCTAACAAAAACCCACTTTTTTACCTATGTGGGTTCAATTTTCAAACCCTAGGGCTCAAAGCAAAAGGGAGGAATCTTGTACCAGATAAAGAAAGCCCTCAATTCACCTTATAAAGGATTCAATTCATAGAGAAACAGCCCATAACGAACCAAAAATTTATTGGGGAAAGAAAGCCAGAAACAAATCTCAGGCTCCAATATGAGAAACAAAGCATCTCAGCATCAGTTCAAAAAAAATTCAGGTGCAAAACCCACAGAAAAGAACCCAAATTTGGAAAAGTCAAAAGCCCATTTTTTTTAAAGAAAGTACAAGGAAGACAAAAAACTTGGAAGGGAACCAATGAAGAGACTAATGAGTCAAAGGCTGAACAACTGAAGCCCTGGAACCTCAAAACCAAGATCCCAAAAGGTAACAAGGAAAACTGCCCCTAACCCCAAACAAGACACTTGAAAAAACAAGAGCCAAAATGGTTTAACAGAAACAAAACATAGCATACAAAGATCCCTCCTTCAACCCCAAAAACCACACCTCCATTAATCAACTAAAACCCAGCTAATAAAAAAACCCCAACTGGACCTTTCTGTCTTTTATCTTTCCCTTTCTCTATTTCTCTCTCTTAATTGCAACACAAATAACAGCAACCTAACAGCACATTTACTTGGGTTACCAGTAAATCCAAAAACATACAACCAGAATTGATAACCTAACTGCACATTTACTTGGGTTTACCAGTAAATCCAACCGTATTCCGCTGTTTCTCTCTCTTTCACTTTCTCTCTCCAAGATCTTTCATACAACAAAAAAAATGAAAAATCCCTCCCCTTACCACACAGTGAGAGAATGACATTGATTTCACATATCAAATGTAAGTGCTTGCTACTACTGTGCCCAATACTTAAATTTATTTTTCTTTTATAGATTAATAAAAGCTTTATATCTAATTTTTTATTGACTACCCAATTTCAAGTTTTTATTTGTGGGTTGTGGTGGGTGTGGGGCCAATAAAAAACCTTTTCCTCGTCTAGTCTTTGTTAAAAGTCAAAAAATCAGCTGGCTTGTAAAAGCTGTTTTCTGTCCAACTAGACAGCAAAAAAGTCTATCCCTTCCAATCCTCCTTCCCTGAATCGAGATTGTTATTACCCCTTCAAATTTTTAATTTTCAGTTGTTGTCACTCTTGCCATTTTCTATTGTAAAAATATTTATCTTTATCTGCTAAAACTATGATTGACTTACATCTTTTAAACAAAAATAATTTTTATTAATTATATAATAATTTAAGCCAAATAAAATTTAAAAAACTTTATTCAAATTTAATCACAGTGAAAATTAAATATATCAGATGAAATAAATAATTTGACTCTTAAACAAATTTACTAAACAAGTATCTCTAAAAAGAAAATTACTTTCTTTTTTTTTTTGGTGGTAAATTGGCGTCTTTCATGCATGCATAAAAACTGAGTGGCCAACGAACTTTTGGCTACGCACATGAAACATTGTGATATTTGGAAAGATTGTTTAAATTTTGTAGTCAATAGGATTGTATGAAATCAGAGTAAGGTAGAGTAGAGTAAAATAAAGACTTAAAGAAAATGAGTGTTTCATATTGTATTTTATTTAAATTATCTAAAATGAGATCATCCAATAAGATAGACATTTGATTCAGCCACAACTATTGTCAACTGTGTGCCAATTGTAACCCTATTTAATAAATGGGAAATTCTTATTCTCCAAGTTTTTGCATTGTTAAAAAACTCATGATGATATGGACAATCTTGATGCTTCAATTATTTAGATTTTTTTTTTTTTTTTTTGGGAGGAGATATATTGCTTTCTTACCCCTTCAAACTTTGATGGTTCCAACCCAGAAGAAAAAATAGAATCGAAAAGAAAATCCTTGCTTTGCTGTGATGAATGTTATTTGAATTTTGATTACGGACCAGGTCAGGTCTCAAGACTAAAAATTACAGCTTCCTTTTCTTCAAGATAAAGTAGACGAGTAACTGTCCGATAACTCCATTGACTTATTTAAATGCTTCTCATTTTCTTGATTTTGATTACTTAACATTGTTAATCATAGTAAATTTCATCGTTGCTCAACCAACTTTGATCAAAATCTCATTTAGATAAATTAAATTTTAAATTTATTCACTTAAATGGACTTTTATCAAAATTCAGCAAGCAACAGTGAAATATACTCTTAATCATTTTGTCATATTCAACTATGGTGTTATTTCTAAAACTCATATAGTTCAATAAATTTCTTTGATATTAAGTTTCATCCAAAATGCTCTAATATTCTCCTATAACAGAATATTGTGTGTTTTTCAGCTGGATTTGCCAACTCTTTGGCATTAATTAATATATTTTGCCAAGATTTTGTACCCAAAACTAAAAATTACTACTATTTGGCAAGATGTATGAACATCATACATACAGCATTCAAGGAAACCTTATTAAATATGTTAGTTGATGTTGGGCTCCTGTCCCTGTTACTAGGAAAAAGATTTCACATTTACATTTGAAAAACAATGTTTAATTATATAAATGGGGAGATTGATGTATTAGCAATTACCACTCTATTTGCGAATACATTTTTTTTTTAAGTTCGAAAAGATCAAATTAAGAATTTGAAATTGATTTATGTAATTATTTTTAAAAAATATATTTAATAAATTTAAATTTTAAATGTTAAAACATATATTCCTTTTTACTATTCTAAATTACGATCTTTTATAAGAAAAAACGTCAGAAAAAAAAATTTGTTAATGCAAATTAGTATGGTTGTGCTTAAGCTTACTTTTAACAACGGTATAAAAAACTATAATAATAGATTCAATACCATTGTGAAAAAGCTGCCTGAATATATCATTTTACTTTTATTTGTTATTTTTTATTTTTGACAAAAAATAATAAAAAAATCATAGCAAGGACTTGACATGGGCAAAAAATTTCAGAAAATTTGCTCTCTTTGCAACCAATGTCACCAATGTCAAATCCTTGCATACATTGGTGCAGGTAATGGGGTTTTGTGCATTGGTCCGGCTATTGAGGAGAGGGAATCCAAAGGCAATAGCTTATGTGTTTTGTACTTTTGCGTATTTATAAGATTTTTTTTTTCCACCCAATCTTTTAAATGAGTGGAGGGTATTTTTTATTATATATTTTTAACATAACTTAAATAATTAATTAATTAATTAATTTTTAACAAAAAAACCATTTCCTTCAAAAGTAAAAGGCCGACTAGCCAGATTACAGTTTACTTTTTTTTTTTCAAAATTTAATTTCAAAATAATAATTTTTATCGATCATTTAAATAAATATAAAATTTTTAAAAATAAAAATAAAAAGACAAAAGTTTGTAGCCCAAGGACATTTTTCGAGGCCAAAGATTTCGTCTTGCTATATTAGATTAGTGCTTAAAATCCATCCATAGGCCAATGATGGTGTAGCAGACTGCAACCCAACAATAAAAAAATTTTATGCTTAGAAGGGTCAGCCATGGTCTCTGCCGCTTCTCCACAACGTTTCACTGATCAATTTTGTTTACTTTTGCAAAGTTATTTTGCTCTTGATAATATGTTCTTGCATGTTTTTTTGAACAGAATTATGGTTGGAAATTGTGAACATACCATTCCATTCAATTCAATTCAATTCCCCGCGGCAACCTTATGAAATGGTTTACAAATTGGTCACAAACCATTGAAAATTTAAGGATCCTAAACTTTTTTTTTTTTTTTTAGCTTTAAGGATCTTAAACTTCAAATAAAAAATATTGATATTCTTTTATAAAAGAGATTATGTTTAGAATAAAAGAGAAAAAATTATATAAATTTAATTTCAGATTTATTTAAAGTTTTAATAAATAATTAAATAATTAAATTAAATTAAACTTTAATTTTGATATTTTTAATTAATAATGTTCTATATCATTTGTCACTTTTTTAATGAATAAAAAATAATCATCTATGTTAATTTTAATACCATTTGTCTTTGAAAAGAAGTATCTTTTTTCTGAAGAGATGTTTTTGAAAAAAAGTTTAAAATGAAGAAAAAATATCTTAGTACTCAAGTTTGATAATATTATTACATTGGACTTTGCCATAATCAATAATAAAATGTCCACATCAAAGATAGCTTCATTTGGAAAATAGATTTAAGGAAAACAGGCAAATTTCAAGTCAACCATTAGATGGATGGATGGATGGAATTAGCATATGGGATTGAAATTATGATTTTATTAATTAGAATTTCTTCAATTCAACTGATAATAAGGAAAATCATGTATTTATTTTTTAATGCAATTTTGTTGGAAAATCAAAAGAGTAGAAAAGAAAAATAATTCCTCAGCATTAAATGGAGAGCACGTGCATTAATTTAGTTGTGAATATTACTTGTCAAAGCCAGCCTATCATGATTAGGACTCATAATTAGTCAGCCATCTTTTGAAAGTGCCAAACTACCCCTGGTTAAACCTCCACAATAGATTCCTATCAGAGGAGCCGACGCAATGATCCTTCCTCTCTTAACAATAGTCATTTGCAAAGGGCTAATCAATAAGAGGAATATAAAATCATTAGTATAAAGAATCATCTTTTATACAGTCACATCGTCAAGGATAAATGTTCACGAGTCATGACGCATTCTTTATCATTTGCTTGTTTAATATGGAGTTTTTTTTTTTTTAATAAGGCTAAAAATTTCTTCAGGCTTTACTTAAATTTAATTCATTCTCAGATCATTTTAAAAAAATATATTGTTTCTTATTAGTTTAGTGTATTCATGATTGTATTTGCAACGAAAGTTTGAAACAAATATTTGCAATGGAGTTATATTTGTTGCTATCAAGCCAAATCAAAGGTTACAAAATTTAACACTGGTGTAAGTCCAAACAGCCCTTTGCTTACATTTGCAGTTACTTTTGTGGAAGTGGAAAGGGTGTTCCTCTTAATAGTTCACTAGGCTTCAAAATTTACATGGCTTGAGGGATTGCATTCTTACTGTCACTCACTTAGCATCCATGTCCTTGCATGTTATCATTGTTCTTCAGTAGACAATAGACATCATCAGCTTTTTTAAAAGTTGGGTCGGGAGAGGCTTCATTTGATTGCAATGAGTGGGAGATGATCACTTTTTTTTTGGCTACCTTGTCCTTTTATTAATGGGTGTTATTAATTCACATTGCTTTTTCCTTTCTTCTTTTTTCTATGTCCATCCATTCTTTTGCGAGTTCTGTTGCAAAGGTCTTAATTTTTGGTGGACCATGCAACTGAAAATTGATTTGTGCTAATTCAATTTTAATCTCATTGAAGGTTGCCAGCCTCGCTGATCTTTTTGTTCAAGGTCTTGGTTTTGACATTTAATGTACAATTGCAGTCAGCTTGGTAAAAGTTTTTGTCAGAATTAATGAGACGATGATGTTTAGATATAGGCAAAATAAATGATCTTCAGCCTCCTTGAAACAACATTTAAGCCCAATCTGACTTTGGGCCAAAACATGCTTTAAAGTATCGTCTTGGGCTACTTTTTCTTTTTGACAGATACTTGGGTTCTGAGTTTTAGCAATCTGAACTAGATCATTAATTATCATTACCGCATGCCATTCCATTCAGGAGATGCTAAATATTTTAGATGAAGTTTGTAAATTTTTCTTTAAAAAATTGATTTTAATAAAAATTTTTATAAAAAATTTAAATTGTTAGATTGATAAGGTTTAATGTGAAAAGTAAAAAAATTATTAAATTTATTTATAATTTAAATTTGATCAATACTTAACAATAAAAATTTTTACCAAAAATATTTTTAAAAATATAAATAATTTTTTTTCAAATTTACACACTTAATTTATGTGACAAAATTTTAAAATTTAAAATTTTAATTTAATTATTTTTAATTAAAATTTCACC